ACGCTTATGCCTGGAGACTGAGCTAGCCTGCCACTCACATTCCCAACATGCCTGCCATCCAGAAAGTGGAGACAAACCTGAGACCCAGGAAGCCAGAGACCCGCTCCTGGGAGAGCTGCTACGGCCTCCAGTTCTGACCCTGAAGCCCACATACCCTGTCTTCCCCTGAGGCAGTTAATCATGGTTAGTCAGGGTCAGTTAATTATGGTCCTTCATCTTTAAACACTCTTACTTGCAACAAATACCCTCTCTTCCACCTACTCAACTCCTGTCCCCAGAGTAAGCCTAGGAAGAACAAGTGGTGGCAAGAACTCCTGCCGACCTCAGTTTCCTTCTCAGTACGAGGGGGATTTCTGTCTGCTTCTGTTGAGTTTGCTGAGGCTGGGCTTGTTCTGGACGATCCATCCAGAGCTTCTCAGAGCACAGTCCCCATGGAGCAGAGATCCTGTCTAGCTTACCCTCACTGCAGCCTCTGTACCTTGCATTGCGCCAACCCACGTCAGGGCTCTGCAAACGTGGGTTCCCTGGATGAAGAAAGGTGGGGCAGGGTGGGGGATGTCCTAACTGCTGCACAGCAATATACACATACCGCATGGCTCTGCTATCCCAGAACTTAGCGCTGCAGAAGTGGAAAAATCACACAAGCAACTGTGGGAGCCAAACTAAGGGGTTAACACAACCACAGTACAGAATAAAATTAAAAAAAAAAAAAAAGCACAGGGTCAGATCTTTCATTTAGACCTGAAGACTTCCCAGAGGGGATGGTATTTCCATAAGGTCTGGAAAAAATGCGAAGGTTTTATCAGGGTCCTTTCAGGTGACTGCCCATCCTGGCTTCCCCTAATACTGCAACACAGTGACAAACTGCGGCCCAGAAGCCTGAAGAAGGGCATCAGCGGACGGACTCCGCGGGTAAGCCTCCCCCGGATGTCTGTAAAAACGAACGGATGCAGGACTGTCACCTAGAGCTAACCGGATTTCAAACCTCTTCCTAGTCAGGGATGTACTCCTAAGAGAAAGTTAAGGAAAAAAAAACAAGAAACGAGTTGAGATGTTCAGATCTATCTTTGCTACCTGGCGGATTCACTCTTGGAGCCCTGAGCTTCGGCGGATTCACTCTTGGAGCCCTGAGCTTCGGCCATATGCAGGGGACCCCTTTAAGAGCAGTCCTCCTCCCCAGCGGAGACAGCCCATTCACAGCCTGGACCCTAGGACTTCCCTGGACGCAGCAGCACCGCCCCCTCCATGCCGCAGCCGCGCGGCCGCCGGGACCTTTCCCCTACTTTCCAGGGCTTCAGGCCCCGCCCCCTCGCCCTGACCAAAACACGTGCCGCATCCCGCTCGGCGGGATCACGCCGCGACCAGGCTCAGATCATGCGGCCCCCTGTGGCGCCCATTGGCCGGCTGCGCACGGGCCAGTCACGGATTGGCTAGTGGTAACCGGCCCCACCCCTGAGGGGAGCGGTCTATTTTGGTTTGCCTTCGAGCTCCACCCCCGTGCGGCCGCTCCCTCCGCGGCAGCCCCGCCCCTCCCGCGCCGCGAGGGCCGCGCCGGGGCAGAGCCGCGCGGGCGGGCGGAGGCGCGCGCCGGCCGCAGGAGCTCTGGGTTACTGCCGCTCGCCGCGCACGTGCGGCCGCTGCAGTGCGCGGAGCTCACACATCGCACCTGTTTTGTTGCCTCTTGACTGCCTGCACCATGCACGGGCCGGGCTCCGCTGGCCTGGGCGACGCGCGCGCGGTGAGTAGTGGCACTGGCACGGGTGGGGCGCCCGCCTGAGCGAGGGCGCGCCGCATTGGCGGAGTCGGCACCGACGGACCATGTGTGGGCCTTGCTGCGGCCGCACCGGGAATCCGGGCAAGCTCGGGGTACGGACAAGGCGGCGGCCGTGCGGGGTCAGGCCGAGGTGGGGTGGGGGGCGTATGCCCCACGCCTCTGGAAATGCAGCTTTGTCTTGTTCTCCAGCGGCGGCCCCGCCCTGCCCCGCCCTGCCCTCCCCGGGGCTATTTCCAGCCATGACGTCACCTTGGTCCTGTGCGGAGGGCGGCCGTTGGGCGGGGGCGCGTCTGGCGGGAAGGCGGCACGCGGACGGTGTGGGCGGGGCAAGGTTTGGGGGCGGAGCAAGAACGGGGTGGGAAGGCGGGGCGGATGCTGTGAGGGCGGGGCAGAGGCGGGGCAAGGGCCGGGCGGGAAGGCGCGGGTGCTGTTAGGGCGGGGCAAGGACGGGGTGGGAGGAGGCGTGGGGTAAGGGCTGCTGGCGGGAACGCAGCACATGGACGGGGAGGGGAGCGCGAGGGCTGGGGCGGGGCGAGGTTGGCTGGCGGGAACGCTGCACGCGTAGGCAGCGTCCCTACGCCTAGGGACTTGGGGCTTGCGGAGAGGAGGCGGTGTAGATTAGGGCTGAGCGGGGTCGTCGTGGCACGTGAGTAGCGAAGGGCCGGAGCGGGGCCCGGCGGCCTTTAATGCATGTGCTGTTACACTCTGGGGATAACGGGGCGAAGCCGGCGGTGCCCCTTTCCCTGGCGGCCTGAGTGGTCCGCGTTGTGACTTCACAGTCGGCATAGTGTAGCCGGCTGGCGAACAGAGAAACTGGGCAGAGTGGCATTTATAAGGGTCTTTTTCTTTAGTCATATGGTTTGAGCGGAATATGGGCAGACAGGAAGTTTTGATGATTCGGTAAATTAAGTGAAAATGTATGTCCTTGTAGACTTTATTTTGGAAAAAATAGGTTAATTCCATTTGCATCCCTCCTCCCACTTAGAGATGGTGCAGTGCACTGGAAAGTGATCTCGCACCTGGGTTGTGGCCGATCTTAGACTCTGTTATCCCCTACTGTCTTCGGAGCAGTAGCAAGTGACTTAATGTTCCTGAATCTGTGGCAGGAACAAGCTAAATTGCTGTGGGATCTACTTCCTGGAGCCCTTAGAGTTGAGCCGGTGGCAACGTGCTGATTTGGGTGGGGTGAATGCCCCGGAGAGTTTCTGAAAAGCATCTTCTGTAGGGACACTACTGTGGTGGCTTTGCCAACTCAAGAGAGCCATTTTCAGAGGCGTTTACTCACCGGCAGACCTGTTAGATGGCCTCAGTGTCAGCTCATCCTTCCTGTACAGCCGCTTCTCACTGGCCACTTGGCTTATCCCTCTGGAGTTAAAGTCTTATTAATCATTTACCCAAGAAAAACATGAACTTAGTAACTTTTTTTTAAGAGTCAGGGTTTTTAGTGACAGTTGCTTTTTAGCTAAGGTCAGTCTTCAGAATGTTGGCTTGAAAGCAAAGTTGGCATCAGTGTTCCTTTACATCTTTTACTAGAACACAGCTGTTGTGTGTGGAATATTATTGCCCGTGCATTACCTGCACAGTACAGGCTCCTGGTGTGTGCATTTATGTACCCAGTGCGGGCTACCCTTCCTGTTTCTCCCCTGCACTGAGAAGCCACTGTGTTGCCCTTAGGTTGACATCATGGACATATATGAGTCAATCCTGGAGAGGAAGCGGCATGATAGTGAGAGGTCTTCGTGCAGCATCTTGGAGCAGACAGACATCGAAGCTGTTGAGGCTCTTGTTTGTATGAGCTCATGGGGTCAAAGATCCCAGAAAGGTGACTTATTAAAGATAAGACCCCTCACACCTGTCTCTGACTCTGGGGATGTCACCACCACTGTGCATGTGGATGCCTCTGCACCTGAGCTACCAAAGGACTTCCATTCTTTATCAACTCTGGTAAGAGGAGGGGGGTATAGAGGAGCATGTTTGTGAAATAATTAGAGTAGCTTAAATAAAGGTGTTCCTCACAAAGTTCTTCAAGAACTTGTGGAAGAGTCACCTAGGATGTTAGCAAGTAAGTTGTATACCCTCCCTTTTCGTGGGTCTGAAGGGGTGAAGACTCCGTCCTGATCTCTTGAAAATGTACTCTTCTCACAGCTTCTCACTGGCTGTGCTTAGGATGAAGTCTACAGATTGGTAGAGAAAGTGAAATTTACTCATGTCTTGGGGGACCTTGGGTTGGGGGTTGAGATTCTCCCAAGACTCAAGTCTAGGATCAGGGTATGTGGGTGGCAGCTGGAGAAAGCCTGTGCTGTGACCTCAGCCTTAGCTGGGTGGCACCTCTGCCTTCCTGTGGCATTCTAACTTCTTGTGTGAGTTGAGCGCTGTAAATCACTATTTTTTGCCTTTTTTTTTTTTTAAATCTGCTGCAGCTGTGAAAGTGCATAGAGAAACTGTTTCTCAGCTTAGAGAAGTTGAGGGCTAGATGTTGCTAATAATGAAAATTATGATGTGATTGTCCTGGTCTGGAAGCTTGCACTGCAAGAAGAGTGTAGAAAGCTTATCTAGAGAGAGCTGAGAAGGGACTGTGGGTGGCAGACAGAGTGGCAGGATTGTGGACCTGGCTGCTGGGAGCCCCTCTGAATTCCATGGCATTGGGCTGTTCTACTGAGGAGTTCAGAGCAGGCTTAGACCAGTCTCCTCTAAATGCTTCTTTTAAATGTATTGGGGTCAATGTGATCAATCGAGTCTCTTTTAAAATTTAACCAAAATGACCTTTTCACATGGTACTTTTCTTTTTAAGTGCATAACTCCTCCTCAGAGCCCTGATCTCGTGGAACCATCAACAGGGATACCTGTTTCTTCCCAAGCAACTGATTCCAAAGTACAAGTACGCAAAGTCATGGCCATGCCCCCGTCCTCTGCTTTTGCAGCCAGAGTGCTGAGCAGGAGGGTGGAAAGGGGCTTGCCAGGTTTGAAGCCAGAGCCACTAGAGCCAGCCCCTGGCCCCCCCTGCAGAGCCATGGTGACCAGTGTGATCCGACACACTGGGGAGACTCCTCTTCCCATCCACTTTCCTACTATTCAGACTTCAGAACAACAACTTTCTGACAACAGAGAAGGAGAAGCACAGTTTCTGGGACATTTTGACACTTTGCAGAACTCAGGCCTCACAGATGGTTTACTCAGCACTAACTCAGTGTCCTGTCAGCCTTGTTTGCACAAGTCTGGGAGCCTGCTCCCCACTGACAAAGGCCAGCAGGCAGGGTGGCCTGTTGAAGTTCAGACCTGCTCACCAAAGAATTATGAAAATGACTTGCCAAGGAAAACCACCCCTCTCATCTCTGTCCCTGTCCCCAGTCCTCCTGTTCTTTGCCAAATGATCCCTGTAACTGGACAAAGTGGCATGTTATCAACTTTTTTGAAGCCCCCTCCACAATTGTCTGGGGGGACTGTCAAATCCATACTACCCCAGGCTGCTCCGGTGCCTCCACCTGTGCTGGTGGGACCTCCTGTGCCTCAGGGAGCTGTCATGCTGGTTCTGCCCCCAGGAGCGCTCCCTCAGCCTGCCACCTCTGCCAGCATCATGGCTATTGGGAATACCAAGTTGTTGCCCCTTGCCCCTGCTCCAGTGTTCATTGCCTCCAACCAAAATTGTGCCCCTCAGGTAGACTTTTCTCGAAGGAGGAATTATATTTGCAGCTTCCCAGGCTGCCGGAAGACCTACTTCAAAAGTTCCCACCTCAAGGCTCATCTTCGTACTCACACAGGTAAGTAGGTACTGGGGCAAGGGACGGTATTGGGTATTCAGCGCCTGTGGTGAGGAAGCGCACTTTGAGCCACCTTTGAGCCTGGGAGGGAAGTATGAGGACCCCAGGGTAGGTGGAAGTGTGATTTCTCTTTGGTTTAGAGTCCTCACGATCTTGTAGGGGTTGGGTTATTACTAGAACAACTATGATAGTTCAGGTTTTTGTGGGTTTTTTTGAGACACACCATCAGAGTGCTGTGGCATCATAGCTCACAGCAACCTCAAACTCTTGGGCTTAAGTGATTCTCTTGCCTCAGCCTCCTGAATAGCTGGGACTGCAGGAGCCTGCCACAATGCCCGGCTATTTTTTTGTTGTAGTTTTCATTGTTGTTTAGCTGGCCTGGGCTGGGTTCAAACCCGCAGCCTTGGTGCATGTGGCAGGCACCATTACCACTGTGCTATAGGCACCGAGCCACCATCATAGTTTTTAAACAGAGTGGCCAGCTGCTCACCCCCCAGAGATAAAAAGCAGTGCAGATCCATGATCTGGGTCCTTTGATAGCTTTTAAGGTGACTCACAGTGCCCTCTTCTGTTCCCACTGCAGTTGACATCTCATGCTTAGTCTTGTCTAAACTAATAAATACATAAAAGTTCAGATTCTAGAATATTTTGAATGAGTGTTTTGTTATCTTCAAGAATATATTCTTCTGGCTTGGCACCTGTGGCTCAAGCGGCTAAGGGGCCAGCCACATACACCTGAGCTGGTGGGTTTGAATCTAGCCCAGGCCTGTAAAACAACAATGATGGCTGCAACCAAAAAATAGCTGGGTGTTATGGCGGGCAACTGTAGCCCCAGCTACCTGGGACACTCAGGCAAGAGAATCGCTTGAGCCAGGAGTTGGAGGTTGCTGTGAGCTGGGATGCCATGGCACTCTACCTAGGGTGACAGCTTGAGGCTCTGTCTCAG